GAAAATTGAAAAAAAATCACCAATATTTCTGGGGAAAAAGAGTTGAATTGTTTTCCATATTCAAAACACAAAATCTGACGGTAAAAATAATGTTTCAGTCTTGATTCATATGATTTAAATCTCAGTTGTATTTGGAATCAATGAGGATGGCTATAAAGTGCTTGTTTCAACAGACCAGCCCACAATAAAAACGAGACTAAGAGGAGCAATGGTTGTTGGACTATGCCTCACTCACTAGAAAGTGAAGAGAGACATGTCTATTAGCATCACACTGCAGTCACATTTGCCCTAAACTGATTCTTTACTTCACCCTAAAAGGGCCGGGGGCGGAATCCGCCCACTCACTTTTTGGCTGGTTTCGACTTTTGTAATTTTGTAATTGTGCGTCTGGCACAATGAGGGAGTGAGGGAGTGATGGTCATGTATCTGGAACATGTAAACGCTTTTTAATTAGTGCAAGCAGACTTATGACCAGCGTGGCAGCTCATGCACGATGTCGATATCGCTGTAGTGTGTGGTCCGACGTTACCGTTTTCTCTGACTTTTGTCTTGACTATCCAAATGTTGTGCGTTCAATAGTATTTTTGACATGTCTGGGATGTTTTTCTTTATCTGTCGAAATAGCTTCTTGAAGTAAAAAAATTACACCACAAATGTGATACGAAAGATCAAACTAAAGAAAATAGTACGGACTAAAATACATAATTTTGAAGTTGATCGTGTGCTACTTCATTCAATTTGTTCTGCGATCATGGATGCACCCGCCATCAGTAGTACCGATCGATAATAGCGCGGCGGCGACATGCAAATGGGGGGACTCAAATGCGTCCCTGTAAGGGCGGGCAAGATAGAGGGCGACCGTTTATATGTTACTTGTCGTTGCAAGCACTCATCTTAGCATCCTAGGATCATTTTGTTGCTAGAGACTCTGGGTTGCGGAAAAAGACCCATTACTATTTCTTTCTTTTTTTATTAAAATGGGATTTGGCACAAACCTGTTCTCGAAACAATCGCACATTTTTCCTCAGGTGACGTTTCTTGCTCTGTGGAGGGACCTCTCGGGATGGAAGATGGTCGCATCCCGGATGAACGCATCACAGCTTCGTCTTTTTGGCGAAACCTCGCTAAGCACGCCCCACCCAGGGCCAGGCTTAATATTCAAGGTAAGCATTTGTATTTGAGACTAACCACGTTATAATTCGTACAGCCATTTAAAAGAAAAGACAGTTGTTTAACCCTAAAAGGGCCGGGCGAAATCCGCCCCCCCCCCTCAACTTTTTCCGCGATATAGCCTTGAAACAAAAAGTTCGCAACCCGAGCTGTTCTGATTTTTTTAGCTACGAGCCTTGTGCATCTTTTGATACCAAAAACATTAAAAAACATTCCGACTCAAACTGAATTTCCCCATGAACGCAGTGTACACAAAGCATTCGTGCATATGAATAATTAATAAGCCATAATTTCAAAATCCTTTGACCTATAGTCATGAAATTTCTTGGGTATGTTCATGATAAGTTGTTCTATGCATGTACTGAGTTTCAAAGTTTTTCGTCACTGGATGGCCGACATCTTAGGGGGGGACGCAAAATCTGCCCCCCCCCTCCCCTTGGCTGAGAGATGGTCAAAATAACCTGGCACTTTTGGGGTTGAAGGGATATTATACGGCCTGAAATTCACGAAATTATTATGTTGTTAGGGATGTTTCTTTTTACTATTTCAAATGTCTAGTTGAAAGGAAACTAACCTAATGTCTTACCGTTCCTGAGAAAAGACGGATGAACAGTTGTTTACATTACACGCGGTGGACTTTTGTGGCATACATATACGTATTTCCCGCCGTTTCCATTCAATGTACAGTACACGTCGTGTGTGCGTCACATAATACACACAGCACAAACACAAATGTTGTTTCTCGCACGTCCGCATCGTGCAATACACTGTGCCAGGCCGGATTCACAACTAGCTCTCAACAGTTCAATTTTTGAGACTCACAATTTTGACACCCAAAATTAGTTATCGCATGGTTCACGCAAGAATAACACAAAAACAACCAGTTTTAAATGATGGTTGTGTAGGCGTTTATGTCCTACTATTAAATGCTTTTCCCAATTAATATAACTTCATTAAAATGCGTTTTGTAGCCCAATCTGGCGCATTCCAGGGCGCAATATCCCTTTAATTGCACAATTTACTGCTCGATTTGTGGTTGATTCGTAGCAACCTAATCCATTACGACTGCGCACTACAAGTAACGTGCGGACGTCAATAGTCGGACGATGTCGGCAAAGCATCTTCATGAAATTATATGGGTCACGGGTCTCTGCTGAGCATTCTGATGCGTGCAGCTATCGTACGCGTAACCAGCAATGCGACCGACCACCAAGGCGACCCGAAGGGCCGACAATACCATGGGCGTCGCTGCAGGGGGGTGTCACAACCCCCATTAGTCATTTTCGTCGGTAAAATCATGGTGCTGTCGGCAAAAAAAAGAAGAATAGAAAAAGAAGGGGGGAAAAGGGAGGAGAAGAAAATATGGAGAATGTTATAGACACCGTTGGATTTTGCGTAACCTGTGACCTGCGCGTCATCACGGTCATGACTCTGCAAGGTTTGAAACGGGCGTTAAGACTGATTCATTACTCTTTTATTCCAGTTTAGAGAGGGTTTTTTTTTTTGCTGAAAAGCATAATAATGTAGGAAATTGAAATTCTGTAAAACTTATCTGTGTTGAAAATTTACAATTCCCGTCACTTGCTCAGGCTCCGACGGTTTGAATCACGAACGGTCGGATTGCATAATGCAACGCTCACAATTTTGTCCACAAGTCATGGTCCGCAATGAAACAGAAATCACATTCGGTAAGGAATGTGCATGGAAGTCGCCAGGATTTTTTTGAGTTTGATGTAATATTTATGATGTAATACATCAACTTTGATGACCCCCCCCCTCCCATCTCCCTTAACACGAGCCAGCACATTAAAAAAAAGTCAGGGGAAAGTGGCCAGGAAATGCTTCAGATTGCCCCACAGACCATCTAAAATCCAAACCTTTTTCGGGGCCCTCAGGCGGCCCCGGCCGGACCCCAAGCCTTCAGGACTTCGCGCTCCCCGCTCGCATATAAAAAGAAATCCACTTTAGGGGCCATTCAGAATTTTTAATGTTTTAAAATTTCGATCTTTTTTCCAAATTGTGGGTGGGTGGGTCAAGCTAAAAAATTGAAAATCGAAATTCACCTTCCATGGAAAAAGATTTAAAAAAAGAAAAGAAAGATAGATCTTTTGACTTGCCTGAACTATGCGCAAGCGTTCCGATATCGCGATGCGTGTTTCTTTTCCAACTTCGTCCCTGTATATGTACTGTACATGTACGTCATGTACGTGTATATAGACTTGGACTCCGGGCGTTTGTAGCGGTTAGGCCTGGGTACCAGGTGTACTAGATCGGCTCTATAACGCACCGCGGGCGTCTATTACCAATCGCTGAAAAAACTGGACTAAGTAAGATTTGAGGCTCTGCATGGTGAAGATACTAAATAATGAAAGGTTTGCGGAAACACCATGTGCGAATATGGTCTCAGCTAAGAGAATGGTTCTGAAAAGAACCAGATGCATAAACTCGACGTTCCGGTCAGTAGGCTCTGACCGTCTTCAGGAGAGTGCCTAAACTCTAAGAAAGTGAATACATAAGTAGCAAAAGGCGAAATCAATGGAGTGTGAAGTTGCATCCTGTGAGGATGCCAAGTAGACAGGATACTAGAGCAAGCTTAGTGCCCACTGAAGTGGAACAGTAGGGTTGCAGTGTCAGTAGAGGGAGGACCTAGGGTATAGGAGACCCATCAGTCTAAGGTGGTAGCTGAGGACCTAGGGTATAGGATACCCATCAGTCTGGAGAAGTGGGAGCCAGATGTCGTTGAGGTGAAACCCGATGTCTTGCGGAACTGTGTTGTGCTTGCGGATTATTCGCACATGGTGTTTCCGCAAACCTTTCATTATTTAAAAACTGGACTATTCAACCACTGGACTCCAAGACTACGAGAACCGCATGTGATGTCTGCCCAAACCTGATGTTTTTCTTTCGCTCGTACCCTTGCCCTGCAAACAGGGCGGCGGGGGGGGGGGGGGGGGGACGAGCGAATGTTTTTCTCAGCTACCTCACGTGACAGGCACAACCTCGTATGTCACATGTCATCCACCTCATCCAGAAAACGACAAAACCAAGGTCATCTTTGTGGCTTCCACAAACTGCAACGTGTCATTCCCAACAGCATATCAGCTGGCAAAACACAAGAACATTCAAGGTCACCAGTGCAAAAGAAGAAGACCGACAACTTCACGCCGTCACTGAACTAGACACACATGTACACGGGTATACATGTTCATGTTCAAGTATAGGTACATGTACATGTACATGTTCAGTTTTTTATTAATCGAAATTAGGGGTGGGTGGGTGGGTCAAAATAATTTGGAAAAAAGTCGAAATTTTAAAACACTGAAAATTCTGAATGGCCTCTTAGGATTTCAGGAACCCCCAGGCTGGGATCAGGGAATGGGCCCGAACAAGGTATGCCCACAGGTACTGGGCGTGTACACGCAGTTTTGCGACGAGCATGTCCAAAACGTGTTCAATATGATATGGCCAATTGTTACGATTTTCTTCAGTTTGAAGTTGAACTTATCCCACTGAAAAATTAATTCCATTCAAAGTAATCAACACAATAAACCATTATAATACATGATGTGGGGGAATTAGAAATGGATTGAAGGGATCTTTTGGGGCGGAAATTATCAAATATTTTTTGATGACACCTCCCCCCCCCTTTCAAAATGGCCAACAACGCCCATGGACGATACGCTAGTCAACCTAGTTGTAGCGTTGGGTCAGACAAAGATTATTGGCAAAGATTGTCAAACATACCTCGAAGTCCAAATTTGAGCCAGATTCCTGCAATGGCTAAATCGTTGAATGCAGTAAGAAATCTTAGGTTTTTTGTTGTTGTACAGGATACGCTGCAGCATGGTGTAACGATGAAATCACTGATAATATCAGTCCATGGATACAGGTTGACTTCGATGGCACAGTCACCATCACTGGTCTGATCACCCAGGGGCTTGGTGACAGCCACCCATACGACCAATGGGTGACGGAGTACCAAGTGACGTACAGCAAAGACGGTCAGTCCTGGAATAACGTGAATGATGCAGACGGCACACCAAAAAAGGTATATAGTCAGGTTGCATACGGTTGAGATCGTGACCGACTGGTCCAAAGCACGTCACCAAACTTGGCAGATAGATTCTTATAGCCCAAAAGAAGATATTTAGAAGGGGTGACACTTGACATTCTTTTTGGAAGAGTGCCTAATTTGCATAAAGCGTTAATCCCTGTCGTGTAATATATTTATTCCCATATTTGGGTAGATGTTTATTTTTGTTATTTTTGGAAAGTATGTTTTGGGGATTTTACTTACATATCCTTACTTAAATAATATTTTCTTAAGAATATCGGAGACTTGAAGATCATGAGGACATTATATAGATCCAAAATGGCTATCATTATACCCTAAAGTTGAGCGCATTTCCTTTTCCCTCAGATATCATCAAGTAGTCTTGCCAAACCTCAGTATGGATGAGCTTCAAATTCACAATGTTACTTAATGACACAGTTATCCTAACAAAAATAAATGGGAAATCATGTAAACAATTATTTCATCTTGATATTCAGCCCACAAAAACAAAAAAGGGGGAAATGAGGTGTCCGTAAATTGGGCTAAACATTACGCGAAGCCTGACGTGGGGGACTTGATCAAGCTACCCATTTTTGTGTCCTGGGCTAAATATCTTCTCTAAGGCTATAACACCGTATCTGCCAGGTTTGGTGCTTTGGACCAGTCGGTCACGATCTTGTCAAAAATTGGGTCTAAGGCTTCTGACTAATAGAAATGATTCAAGGTATCAAAATGTCAAAAGTCGTTTTGCTGACTATTGTTACGACACAATTAGTAGCGTCTCCAGCTTTTGATGTGAGGGGGCAACCGCACATCCAAAGCGAAATGTAGACATGATTTTTGTTCTTCCAACACTTGGCCTCCGTAAAATCAAAAAGCGGGGGGAGGATCATCTTCCAAATGGGGGCGCTCTTCAAAACCATTATTATGCATACTGGAAAATAAATTATGTGCCGATTTTCACGGCGCATTGTAATGCCTTTTTGAGCAGGTTTTCTTTTTTGGGGTTGATGTCAGAACTCTCTAAACATTTATGGAAATACTTACTGAGCAAAATATCTTTCAAAAAATCATCCGGGGGCACGGTGCCCCTGCCCCTCCCCCCTGCCCCCCCCCCCCCTCTGGATATGCCACTGGACATAATGAATCCATTCGAATGACTACAACCTAAACACACCAATCTTCTTTTTTGAACAGTTCCCTGGTAACAAGGACAAGAACACCCTGGTAACTACTCGCCTACCGTTTGCCTTGCGCACCAGAATCCTGCGCATTCACCACACTGCGTGGAGCGTACATTGCTGCATGAGGTTTGAAGTGATTGGCTGCTATTAGTCAAACTCATTACATTGCCGACGAGTGAATGAAATGATTTCAACGTCAAAAGGTAGCTCTGTCGTAGAACAAAACGAAAATGTTCATGCTTGTAAATACCGGCTCTACTCAAGTTTTATTCGGTAGTTTGAATGAAATTTGATGAATATTTATTAGTTCTTTTTTTTTTCGTAAAATTTGTGAATGTATATCATTGATCCATTTAAAATGAACACTGGTTAATCGTTAGTCAGGGTGTACGTGTTGATAATTAGCTGATTGATAAGACTTAGAGTGAAGACAAACCCTGGGAGTACACTTTAAAAAGAATCTCCAGGGAAATCTGGACAGTCGTACAGCAAGCTTGCTTTTTCTTGTGTACTTTAAGGACTCAATAACTTTAGAACATGACCACGAATAAGAGAAATGTTATGTACGAATTTAAGAAAGAAATTTCCTCGTTATGAAAAATGTAGAATTATTATGTGTTAGTTGCTGGAAGGTACGGTGTGTCTACAAATAATTAGTATGGTAGAAATTATTATCCTGAAATTTTGTAATTTGAAAAAAAAGCATTTGAGAAACACTCGCTCTATTTGTTTCATATTAAGCCCACATCTGGGGGGCAGATGCAGCCCCTGAGCTGCTGATTTATGTTTTGATACTAGAAAAATGGGGCCAAAGAAAAGAAAAGGAATTCTAAAGTTCCTATATTCTCAAATAGTTATGTAGATTGGCGGGAAAAGCATCGTAGATTTCACAATTGTCGGGGGGGGGGCATGCCCCGCACCCCCAGCAGTCACAACCTCTTCACCCCCCCCCTTAACCTTACCCCCCCCCATGTTTTCTGAATGGTAGATCCGCCCGTGAAGCTGTTTGGATTAGAAAATGTATAAGTCAAAAGACCTTTATTAAGGGTACGCCATCTTGAACATCAAAGCGAGGCATAACGCGGTGTGCGGTGAACGAGTGTCTCGCAAATTACAGCAGATTGACACTCTTATAAATGGATGGATAGCTCGATTCCCCGCAACATCAATCAGCATAGGAACGTCACGTCTTATTGTATTTTGAGGAAGGATCTGATAAATATAAAGCCCAAAACAAGTAGCCAGACTGAAGTTTCCAATCACAAAAAGGTAAGTGTTCTTTCAGCAAAACGAAAACAAATCACATAGGGATGTATGTGAAAAAAACGCACACCTTTTGTGTGATCCGTGGACAGAACTTTAAAACGGTGGTTGTGTTTAAAATTCCTTAACTTGAAAAGCAAATAAATGATTTGAATAATTCTTGTACTAGAAGAAATCTCATAAATTGAGCTTTTATATTCCTAGATTTTGAAAGTGCTACATGCAGAACTTCAATAGAACAATGGTCCCGACATTTGGGTTTCGTTTTTTGTTCTCACCCTGTATAGCACCGCCGTCAGATCAGAGAAACTAAAAAACTTTTCTTGTTTTCGCTTTTTTATCCGAGGCTTTTTTTGAGTTGAGAACATGCATCTGTCTATTTTTTCGTGTTGTCAATAAGTAGAGAAAGTGAATATGCTTTATTGTGACTTTAAGTGTAGCCGATACATGGGCCTGTACAATTATGCCAATCTGAGCTTTAAAGGCGGCACATATATGTTTATTCATTGAATGAGTTATTATATAATGTATATAAGTTGTTACGTCAAGGTATCTTCAAGATGCTTAACATATTTGGCAAAACTCTTTTAATTATTATAATTTGAAAGCTACTCAACATACTGTACGTAGCACATGATAGATGGCTTTGTATAATATACGTGTCAAATGAGCTGCGGCTATCTCCCTTTAGAATTCAAACGATTCAAGTGTAGACAAGAACAACATGGACAAGGCGAATTAAAAGTCGAAAAGTTTCTTATTTTTCCCCTCAATTTGTTTAGTGAGCAGGCGCAAGATCTTCGTTCTAGAGTTGCACTTGAAATTGAATATAATGATTTTAAGGACAAATATCTTGTTATCGTTCCCCATTTTTATCAAAAGTGTATCTCCTCTTGTATAAACGCGAAATACCATTTTGCTTTTCAAGTTACTGCTTCGACTGTTTTGACCAACATAACACAGAAAAAAAGAGACCAGCGTTTGAATTGATGGCATGGTATCTTTGTAATTCCTTTTTTTCCTACCCTAAAATTATGAAATGTATCCCCGCTCCCAAAAGAGAGAATTTCCCAAATTCATATGTTCCTCTACTGCAAAAAGTCTCGATATATGACTCTTAATCAATTCCCATGTCCAGTGGTCATAAAGTTATCTCCTTTAAATATCTTATGTACGCACCTGAGAATACAATAAAAAGACCATAAGGAAACAAGAAGGTTATTTAATCTGGATCCAATTATCTCACCTCAAAATCTCACCAGTATTGTAAATACATCATAATCTTCTGTGAAGTTTTTAAAAGATTCGGCGAACCAGACTGCGTTGCAAGCGAAAAAAAGGCCTGGTCCTTTAGAGGCAGGAGTTTACCATGCTACATTGATGCCGGCCAAAGAAATCGGTTGGATGAAAACTGATTGTTAACAGGAACTTAAGGTTTTTTTTCAGATTTGTTTAGACTCTTAGTGTCTAAGTCAGTACAAATATACAATGACATGTATTTATATTTTGTGGTATCCTTTTTTCATGAATCAAATTGTGAAAAGGGTATTTTTGGAAGACCAGCTTGAATATGGATTTTTTTAATCAAAATTCAATACTCTTTAAAGGGAGACTTTTGGCCGGTTGCGCTCTTTTGAGCTCTAAAAACGCACTTCTCACGAAATAATAATCATTAGAAAGATTAATGACAAGTGAAATATAAACATGGACACAACTATAATGACGGTTTCATTTGTGTGTTGAAATTCAATGGCTTTTTTTCACTGCTAGAAATATTTAAAGGAGAGGCAAAAAACGCTGACGCACAAAAAGTATAAAACAAACGGGTGTTTTCAACATTTTCTCTGGAAATGTCAGACATTTTGCACAGGACTTACTGGGACCCTAAAAACACTACGTTTTGACATTCTGCGAATGAAAGTGCACCTGAAACTTTGATAATAATTACTTCAATCGTCCCAAACTAATTTTACTTGTTGAAGTATGGTGAACGCCATAAGAGGGCGCTATTTGAAGTGGGCAAATTTGAGTCAATACAAATTTAGAGTTTACCCACTCAAAATCACTTCGTAAACCCATGGAATGAATATTATTCAGTATGCACTGCCGACAATTTCGTTCTACAGCACTATATAAAATTCCAATAAATATTGCATGAAACTTTTCAAATATCCAATATACCTTACTTACTTATCTTAGCAAATCTGGTATACACTGTTTTCTTTCTTTTTTTTCAATTCAAAGTAACATTTATTTCCACATGATCATGAAGAAAAATACAATAAATATAGATGTGGAGGCACGTTCCAAAAAAGCGGGGCTTGTCAAGGAACAGCCTGTTTACAAAAAAAAAAAAAAGTAACAGCTTCACAATAAACGAATAAACATAACAACACCTATAACAAGAACACAAACAGTGTGAATACATGTACGACGACTAAGATAAGAACAGATATGATTCAATAAGAAAAAAAATAATAAACCAAGATCAGAAAGGTGAAGTAAGTAGGGCTTACTGAGGTGACTGGTGGATTAACAAAGACTTCAGTTTGTGTTTGAAAAGAGCGATTGATTTACATTCAGAAAGTGGTAAGGGAAGACTATTCCAGTTTTTAGGGCCTGAGAACGTAATAAAATGTTGAGAGAGAGTGGTTTTAACCAGTGGAATGTGAACTTTAGAAGAAGACCGGGTATTATGACTGTGAACAGATCTGTTTAACTGAAAAAGATTATGCAGAGTTAGAGGAAGTACATTATTGAAGAATTTGAACATGAAAATATTTTGTTGGAGGCAATTGATATTGGCAAGAGTGAGAAGATTAAATTTGCGAAATAACGGCGTGGTGTGATCTCTAAATTGAGCCTTGGAGATAATAAGGACAGCTTTTTTTTGCAATTTCACTAATTTGTCAATTCTAGAATGAAAGTTATTTGCCCAAACAATGTTACAGTAAGATAAATGTGGTAGAATCAATGAACAATACAGAGTGCGTAAAATATTACATGGGAGAATATGTTTAAGCCTGCCGATGACACCAATACTTTTAGAAACTTTGTTTTCAATCTCTTTTATGTGAAACTTCCAGGTAAGACTACTATCAACATGCACACCAAGAAATTTGGCATGAGACACCTGCTGAATAGGAACTCCATTAATCTCAACTTGGCAACCAGCGGGGGAGAAATATTCGATTTTTTATGAAAAATCATGTAGTTATTAGAAATGAGCATTATTATATATACATGTAGATTATTACTCTTTATTAATTGTCCTTTCCAACATCCATGGTTAAGCATGAATCTCAGTAACTGGTGGAAATAGATAAAAGAAAAAATTGTAACTGTAAATATTCCTTAGCAAATTGTTTTTCCTTCTTTTTTCATTTTTCCCCTTTTCTTTAACGTTTGAAGTGGTTGAGGGAAATCGGCACCATTTGCAAACATTCAAACATAAAACTATCAAAATATCATGAATTATCCTTCTTAATTTTCAGAAAATAAAAGGATAAAAAAGCATTCTGTGAAATAATTTTCGCCCAGTATTCTGTCTTTTTCCAGGCAAAAAGAATAATCATCATTACCTCACGATGGTTAGGACCAAACCTTCAAACGGTCAACAAAAACATGCTTTGTGTGAGAAAAAAATAAGAATGCATTGTTACAGCTTTTTCAAAAGTATGACATCTACTGTGCATAATTTCGACGTTTTTTTGTTTGTTTGTCATTAATAATCTGCATCAGATTGATTGCATTATTTTTCTTGAAACGCCAAAAAAACTGTTTGCAAAAGGTGGCAATTAACTTAAAGCCCAATAAATTAAATAAATATGTAGTCAGAGACATGATAGAGAAAGTTTGGCATATCACGACACAAGCCTTTTTCTTCCA